CACAGACTGAATATTGAATATGGATGCCATCAGAGGCCAAAAATTGAATTAGACCAGAGAAAGTGTACAAAATGCAATTACGTACATCCCAGTTGACTTTCATCTTGTTACAGTTACGTCTTGTAGCCAAAATTATTCTTTCTACTCTAGTTTGTCAATAAGATTAAAGTGCCTGTTCAATGCCCACCCCTACGTTTCCCATTTTAGATCTGTGTCCCACTGAAAAGGGTAGTTATTGATTTTTTTGCTGAAAATGATTACTCGTATCCAAGTAAATTTGGTATATTTCTCGTGTTGTAGCCACGCCCACCTATCGTGAAACGGTCGACTGTCGAAAGTGCGCCACCAAATGACAAAATGTGAGAGGAAGTCATACCCCTGAGCCGAAATAACACTGGTCGTTCAGTATACTTTTAAACGATATACATTTTTCAGTCGGCACTTTTTCGATTTTTTTTGTCTATTTTATTTTTTTTCTGAGAGAGAGGTTTTAGATGTTGTGTTGTGGGCAGTTGCAGTAAAACCTATAGCCATAGTGTATGTATTCACATGTTTCTAATCGATCCGAAGGTGCGACATCACTTAACCTTAGATTCATTCAACTGTCCTCGTCCATAAAAAAACGACTAGGTTTAAAGAGAAATGCCGACAACGTAAACCTGGCGCAACACTTTTGAAAGAAATAGATTCCGGACTAGCCCATGATTTCAGAAGAGAGAGAGACGTCCGGCAAGTGTTTCAAATCAGTTGACTTTTTTTGCGATCCTGATTATCGTTTTATAGAGACCATTTAGTCACTGTTAAGTAAAAGGTAGCAATAATTTGACAGTGACACGAAAACGAAGCGTCGGACAAACAAGAAATTACACATCCCTTACACACTGCTAACTGTTTTCATTTGCGAAGGCTAAAAGTTTCTGAATTGTTTGGTGATTGGTGTTGAATGTCGAATTCACACCTCTGTTCTTTTTTACCTCCATGCTTACAGCTTGATCTGCGTAATAATTTATGAAATAAGAATCCGGGTTTGGTCAATGTGTTTCCACCAAGTAAAGTTTTAATACGATGTTATAATTATGACAATCACGCCATGGATCAAGCTAACTCGAATCCACTCTGAATTTATCTGTATGTGTGTCGATCTCGATTATTTTTGTTATCCAATTAAACGCCGCTTTTAACGCACTTGCCCTCGCCGTGACCCGACGCGTTCACCTATTTCAACAAAATGTCAATATATTTCCACGCGGCTGTCATTTATTTAGTAACTGTGATTTGTCGTTTTTTAAATTATTTTATAGTGATCACTATAGTCTAAGGTTTAGAATGTCAAAATATGTTCTCTTTTATTTTAATTTTGAAAGTTTTACTCAGACGATCGATGAAATAAAATAGTGTAGTGACGTGCCTAGTAACCTGCTAAATAACGAGATAATTCCGACGTCAAATTCTATTTTGTCCAGCAACAGTGTACAAACGTGCGCCGGTGTCGGTGACGATCACGGTGACCAGCTACACCAGAATGGACATATTTCGCATCTAACTCAACCCCATGCAACCACAATTTATACTATGTGTTCATTATGGTCCATTCTTCCTCGACGAACAAGTACATAAGTGACAATATAGTCAAAGACGAGAGAACTGCACAAGAAATTTGCCTTATTTACACGTATCGGAAATGCAAGCTGCCATGCGACTTCGCCTTCTGACGTCACAAGGGGAATTTCTGTATGGAAATGAGAAGCTAATGAGGAGCCTAGTTTTAAAATACACAAAAATAAAGATGCCGTAGACTGAGTTTAAAACACATTTTTTCACTTAAAAAAATAATTCATGCTTAGAAACATAAAAATTAATAATATTTATGTATCAATTGATAATTGTAGGCGTGAAAATAGCAGCCATTTCACAGGCACTTTAAAAGCGTGCAGTTCTACATGCTAAGAACTTATGATAAATATACAAATACATCTACCAACTTTGCACAACTTTGCAATCACTTTGAATAACTTTGCACGGCGTGTTAACAGCTTAGCGACCACTAAGTACCGACAGCATCAACAACTTGTGAATTGAGAAGTAGAGGGAATTTGAAAACATTGCATAAATTAAAAAAAAAATACCAAAATTCAATGACTCTCTACTTATATGATTGACATAACAGTAACAGAGAATGGTCGAATGTTGCCTAAGATCTTTTTCATGTGTCTGATGAAAAAAAAAATACATCTGGTTTTCTCAGGCAGTTTCCTATGCAAGTGCTAACCATGCTGGATTGTGCTTTACTTGAAAACATTGG